AAAAAAAGCAAAAAGCTGGTATTTGTATTTATTACGATTATTATGATTTGATATACTATTTTCTGTAATTACAGCGATAAATATTCATTTAATATTTTTGTGAATAAACTAAACATTATATTCACTGTTACAAATAATTCTATCAAATACGAAAATGATTGTTGTAAAAGAAATTTCATCTTTGTTAGTGTTAAAATGATTATTAATATGATAATTGTTACTTTCACTTGAATTATAAATTTTATTGATGATACAAATACATATTTTTATTTGGTATTTTCAGGAGTTAATTATTTGTGTTAAAAATAACAATATCTTACATAATAAATATTTAATTTATCTTTAATGAATACTTAATTACTTATAGTTTATTTAAACCTGATAATACATAATTTAACCGAGAGAGAATCTTTACCAAATATGAGTGTCAGAAACTAGGCCGATGGCAGTGTCAGAAACTACAACACAAGAAATTTTAAGTGTCAGAAACTGGGTCTTCAAACATCACTTTTTAAATCATTAATTAAAATTACTAATTCGCTTCAAATAATTATATCGCGTATATGAGTTTTTCTAGAAACTCTGAACTTGTTTATAGAATTAAAATTATTTGTTCTAATGAAATATTATTTTAGTTATCGTAATATAATCTCAGGTGTCACTCTTAGAGTGTCAGAAACTGGGCCTTTTACCTTACTTCGAGATAAATGTTTATAAAAAATTCGTTTACTACGAAATAAAACCACCCTGTAACTAACTCTTTGTTACACTGATATCAGAGCACTCTACAGAAATTTTATATTCGTAGACTTTTATGTCAGCCAAGGTCACAATTTGCATGCATTTTTTGTTTTTATTTCTATTTTTTATCCCAATGCCCGGTTTATAAAATTTTTATGTAATACGTAACGTTACATTTTTTATAAACGTAAGTATGCAAAGAAAAGGTGTGGATACTCTATAATGTATGAAGTGTACGAGACCTTGCGAATGTAACCTTTTAAAAGTCATGGTCGAGACGGAATGAATAAATGCAATTTGTATAATTAGTACCTAATACTGCAGAATTTAAAATCGGCAACAACAATCAATCAATCAAAGTAAAAATTAGAATACCTAATAACTAAAGGTTTTCATTTAACAAACCTAATAACTAAAGGTTTCTATATAACAAAAGAATACAGAAAAAAATAAGTAATAAGTTCTTTGCACACTGACAATTTTTGGGATCGACTCGAAATTTTTTATGAAGAAATCGCATGAGGACAACGAATTTTTGAAAACGGCAATTAAAATTGCTTACCTTTGGCCGTTTCGAATGGTCCTTCCTTGTCCAGAGTCGTATACTCAAGGACCCTTTCCACGCATGTCATGTAACTTATCACTTCCGCCATTTGCCTCATGCCAAATTGCAGCATTCCGGTTAAAGTTAACGATTGAGAAACAGCCAAACCAACATAACTACCACCTTGGCAAGTAAAAAAAATATATATTTTACTTTCTTTATATTCCAGTCATCCTAATTTTATTTTATACTCACTTGCGTTCATAAAAACAAAGCTAAATGCAACACATGCTATATAAAGCACACTTAAAATATCTAACCAAAGACCAAAAGCAGATATACAAGCTATCGTTAGATACCACGCCGAAGTATGCGTATCCTAAAAAACAAAACACATATAAAGGAATTTTCACGACGTTTCGTCGCGGTATTTGTAGGTACTCTTCAGGGTGAGACGCGTCAAAAGCAAGACTCAAAGAAGAGGCAAAACAGTGCAGTGAAACTGAAATTTTAATTTTCATAATTTGTTCTTCAGCTTTCTATTTACATATGTACCTAGATACAAATACAGTCGAACTTCGATAACTCGAATTTTTGATAGGTCGAACCAAATTGGTTGGCAATAGCGTCAAAAATAGCAAATGCGTGTAAATTTGTCTTGATTAATCGAACTTCGACTACTCAAATATCTTGATAACTCGAACGAAATATTTTGCGCCAACTTCGATAAGTCAAATTTTCTGGGGGAATCCCGTAATTACGGTCGATTTTAACCTATCTTTTTTTAACGTATTTATGCAGGCAGTTCAGTTTCTGCGCTTGCTAAGTTCACTTGTTTGACTTACTAGTTACTACCAACAATAAGTAAAAAATACTGTGCCTATTTCATTTATATATTTGCGTGTGTTAATATGTCATCAAACGTACTTTAAAAACATTGTCTGTTGGTCGAAAATTTGAAAATCCGTTGAGTGTCTTGCGTTCCTATTTAAAAGCCAGTGAATATACAACCGATGTCCTGTATAATAGTTTAAATGAAATTGAAGCTTTTTTCAAAAATCAAAATAAGAAATCCGTCCGTCAGTCACAAATAACTGACTTTTTTACAGTAAAATAGTAAATATATACATATACGTATATATGTACTTGTAGTACATACGTATGTACATACTTACTATGTATGTAAAAATATGTTGCATAATTTTTGTTATTCCTTTGAAAAGCATAGATATTAAGGCACTTATGTAACATTTAACTAATTTTTACTGAATTAAATACATAAATGTTCATTCACAAAGAAATAAGTACTAATTAAAGAAGTATTATTTGATAACTCGAAGTTTTTATAATATACTAACATTTTCTATGTAGTGAAAAATAATAATAAAATTTTGACCTTATTTTCCGCATTTTAAGTCTAAACAAAGAAAATAAATTTATATTAAAATTTTCAAATCGATATCAGCCGAGATCAATTACAAATTCACAGAAATGATACAATCAGCTAACAGTAAAAAAAGTTTTTCACCTTTTCAAAAACAAAACCCGAACAAATAAAATAAATTAATTCTCACCTGATGTGAATCAAACTCTTTCCTCAAAGGCATCTCGGCAGCAGATGCCCTAATTGTGGTAATGCCATTCAATGAAGCATTTAAATGAGAAAAGACTGGACTTCTTGCTAGAAAACGAGAAAATAAAACTAATAAAAACAACACTAGATAATACAATATATTTACTTGTCCCTTCCAAATGCTTGATATCTCTGGCAGAAGCAACGTACCAACTTTGCACTTTAATAAAAACTGCCCCTAATATTACAGCCACTATAATCATCCAGTCGTTCGCTATCGAAACGTTTATTAGTATTCCAATCATTACAAATAAAATCTATAATAAAGCATTTAATAATCCTTGTTTAAATATGAGAGACATAAAATTATTCTCAATTACCTGGAGTGTTTCTAACATAATTCTGGGTAAAAGTTCATCAATTATTCCCATGTCTCTTGAAAACCTGTTAAGAATTCTACCACTGGGGTTCGTGTCAAAAAATCGCATTGGTGCCACCAGCAGCGAATTAAACATGAGTCCATGTAATTTTTTAGACGCCCTCATGCACACCTTTGAAAGTATAGCTTCTATAAAAGTTGTTTCTATTACATTGTGTAACCGGTAATTACCTTCAAGAAAAACATAGACCTCGACGTGGTTATTACTATACTTCCAAGAATAAGTAATGTGTAAACTAATAAAGCAGAGTTGGTCGATATAAGATCGAAATCATCCTCCCTACAGTCCTGATAATACGTCGAGTTACTATTTGATACGTTATATAGGTAGTTGGTCGAGTTTTCCCCGAACTCCGGTAATAAAATTTCTGGATGATGTTCAGCTGTACAGTTTAACATCAATATAAATCTTCTCTCTTCCTGGGAAGTCCTAAAAAATTACAGTCCATTTCAATTTGTTAGAATTGTGACCTTGAAGAAATCTGCGCGAAGAATACAGAAAGAATACACACTAGGCGTGAACAAAACAGAAATAGTTGGAACAAGCTTGAACGAGCAGAGCCCTCGATGGGCGGTCTTAGGAGATCGGCTAGAACTGTACAGTACTAGACGAAAATGTTTAGCAATTTCTTAAAACAAAAATGTATATAAACTAACAATAGAAAACAAAGCAAAAGTTTTATAGGTGTGTAGAGCGTTAAGTCAATTCACTTGCTATTATTTTTGGCTAAGTATGCTTTTAAATAAAGCATATTCTTAAAATTTAACGAGGCAGTTTAAATTATTCTGCAAATGGTACTGTACACTTTTGTTTAGTTCTTTCTCAATGATCGGTGGAGGAATAAAGGGAAGGGGCATATCTCTAACTTCTTGAAACGAACAGTACCTATAGTTTATGACCAATTTTCTTCGTCTTTTTTTTGCGTTTTTACTTACCAATAAGAAGTCCAATAATCTGCAGCACTAGATGCAAGTTGAGCAGCAACCAACATTATAATAACGCCTGCTAAAATGAAGAAATTTCCTCCAGATCTTGCATAATCAACATAAGCTTTAGCTCCCAACTTATTGACTTTCTCTTCGTTTTCTTCTTCGTCCTCTTGCTGAACACTGGACTCCGATTTTACACTCTACAATGACACAATTTCTTATATAGAAATGATCAGGTCTATGTTCGCATCAGTTTTGTTCTAACCTTTGTAGATATTATTGATTCTGTCCTCTTCACTTCGGCAGTTTTCTTCACTGTTTCGGATGACTCACTTGAAGATATCAGTAAGTTCGTAAAGCTCAAATGTGTGTGCTTACTTAATTCTTCAAACGAACCATAAGCTTCAATTCTACCCTAGAAGAACCACATCTCAATAATAATTAATTGATTTAGACGGTACTCACGGGATCTAAGATCGAAATTCATTTTTTACTTACGTCGTTCAGTACAATAATTTTGTCTGCTTTCTTCAGATATTGAAGTTGATGAGTTACCAAAATCCTCGTTTTTCCTCTCAAATATTTTATGATACATTCCTCGAACAAGTGCTTTCCTACATGGGTGTCAACGGCAGAAAGGGGATCGTCTAATAGATAAATGTCAGCCTCTCTATAGACAGCTCTTGCCAAATTTATTCTGGCTTTCTGTCCACCGCTGAGCGACACTCCTCTTTCTCCAACGAGAGTTTTGTCACCATAAGGAAATTGTTTGAAATCTGTTTCAAGAGCGCAAACCTTAACAACCTGTTTGTAGTAATTCTCCTTGTACTTTTGTCCGAAAAGAATATTTTTTTGAACGGTAGAAACAAAGAGCCATGGTTCCTGAGAAGCGTATGAAATACTACCGCCAACTTCTAAGTTTCCTTCTGAAGGAAGTAGCTCTCCGAGTAGAAGCTGAAGAATGGAGCTCTTTCCTGAACCAACGGGTCCCACTATGGCACACAGTTCACCTGAATTTACTCTAAATGTGAGATCTTTTAGTGTTGCTACGGAAGGTGACCAGAAAGCGGTTATATTGTCCAAAATGACGGACTTATGGGTCTTTTTGACTATTTTGGGGGTCGGCTTTTCTTCCAGTAACAAAAAGTCTTGAAGACGTTTAACAGATACGAGACATTCGGATCCTAAAGTGACTGCATTCGGGTAAAATATCGCCATGGTTAATTGCATGGTATTAAACAATTGGGCAATGGAAAAAACTTTATCGGCTGTTATTTTGCTTCCTAATAAAACGTACGTTAGAATCGTCAGGTAAAGAACCAGCCGTTCCAAAAACACGGCCGAACTTAGGTTTACACCCTTCAGGAAGTTTGCCATAGTTATTGTCTTGATCTCATTCGATCTGGACATCTTTACGACATCCGCAAACGGCTTTTCCCATGCGTACATTTTTATTACTTGGATGCCAGAAATTAATTCGCTCATTATTTTTACCCTGCTGTCAGTTTTTTTCGCAACTTTTAACCGAAGAGTTGACGCCAATTTTCCCAAATATCCTTGAAATTAATGGAGTATCATATTAGATTAAAAATAAGCGAGTTTTGTAACTTAATAGCATTCATAGTTTTTTCGTTTTGGAGACTCACCTTGAACGGGAATGGTAAGAAGGATCATGGCCAATACTCCAGCCAGAGCCGATGGTCCTACCTCCATCCATATTAAGTAACTCAATATAACTGCTTGGAGAGGCATAATCCAAACGAAATGTAAAAATATTACCACCAAATCGAAACGATTTACATCGTTTGAAAGTAAATTTACTACTTGACCTGCGGCTGTGTCATTCAGAGATTTTTTACTTAATTTCAGCAACTATAAACAAAAACTATTATTTCTAAAATACTTTCAATCCTATTCTAAAAAGAAAAATGGGAAGAATTCTTCCTGCCAAAGGTTTCTTCATTTATAAAAGTAATATATGGAACACTTTGACATTTAATAGTGGTTAATACCAAATATTAATGTGAAAACTCATTTTCAATTTTTTACCCTCAAGTTACTGAGGAAAAATTTGTTGCTGTTGACCTTTGGCTTTACGCATCAATGCTCTCACCATAAAGCTACGAGAGATGACAACAGCAACAACGACGAACCGTACTTATTACGTCACAAATCTGTCAAACTGTTAATAAAACGAGTGGTTAAAACCAAATATTAATGTGAAAACTTATTTTCGATTTATTACCCACTATAAATTACAGATAATTTGTTGCTGTTGTCACGCCCTCGTCGGGAATAGAACCCGGTATCTTTGACTTTACACGCCAGTGCAGGTGTGACAACAGCAATAAACTTTTCCTCCCTAACTTGAAGTAGGTAATTTATAATGAGCAATGAATTTTCACATTAACTTATAAAACTAATGTTTAATTATATTTAATTACCTTTCTATAGACTAATGAACAACAAGCAATCCTAACTCTCATACCAACACGTCCTGCAGCTAAATTAGCATGATGCATCAAGAAGATAAAAACTATAGATATAGCTATCATTAAAGATCCATAAATTATTTTGTGTTTCCGATTTTCTTCGTCTACTTCTTCGTTAACCACATAAAATAATTGAATGAATGTCGCTAATATGACAGGATGTAGAGGTCTAGAATTAACAACATATGTAAAAATAGGTACATTTATTATACTATTTATTATTAGCATTTAATTATGTGCACATTCAATCTCCTTCTGTTTTCAGTTTGTTTTTTAAACATCCTGGGGAAACAGTTCATGAAAAATATGTTAAATATTCATCACAATCACAGCATGTATAATAAAGTAATTTATCTGAATTGTATAAGAATTGCATCTAAAGTGTGACGCAATAGCAATTAGAGTTCGCATTTCAAAGAAAAAACAAATGAAAACATTAATATGGTAAATAAATAAAAATGTGTAATTTATCTTTCGTAAAAAGTTCATTTACTATCGGAATGTATAGATTGGTAACCACATATAGATACTAATATCCTACAAGTATTTTCCGACTGCTTGACTACGCTCTAATAACAGTAATAAATAATTCTATTGTTCCACTAAACCAATTAAAAAGGCAATCTGTATAACGAAAGAGCATAATTCAATTTTTTTGTCATAGGCAGGTACTTTTTGAAATTCTTAAAAGTAATGAGAGTTACAATAGAAAAACCCACTGTTTGAATTAATGAATTATCAATAGGCAGACAACTGCAAGAATGACATTTATGTTTTCATTCTAATAATTGACCTTTTATAATAATTATTATTTCTCCTTTAATAAGTATTCTTAAGAGAGCCGCTATAGATTTATAAAAAAGGTTTCTCATTTACATTTGGTGACAACAAAGTATTTATTTTAATAATTGTACCAATAAAAACTGGTACCTAGTAATAAATACAGAAATGTCTGGAATTGCGGCATTTTTCAGTGTATCTACTAAGAATAAAATGCGGTGGCATTACATCTGAAATCTAATTGTTCATTAATTATTACAAGTGACAAATTAATTGATCTACAGTCGTTGTTTTTGTTAGCAGCAAGCTAATTATTATTTTTGTATCACTACACCTTTGTGGGAAAAATCTATTTTTAGATAATAATTGTAGTAAATTTATTATAGTTGTAGTTACTTTTGTGTCAAGTGATGCGGTCACAAAACAAGCTTCCTGATCTTCCCTTATTCTTGCTGTATAAGCACAAGTTTGTGAGCAAGATGTTAAGAAATGAATCAACCCAGCAAAAAATTGTCAAGACAAGAAGTAAAACAACAAGCAGTTACTAAACAAGATAAGAAATCTCTTTTATACACCACTACTTATACATAATGTGTCCTGTGTCCAGTGTGTTAAAATGCATATAGGCACATTGTGATTGACTCTTTTGTCTTTTATTTTATAATATTATTTCAAGAGCAGCCAGGGTTAAAACAATCAAATAATGGTGGAATCGCCGGAAACAATATATTATACTATTCTACTATGTAGTTTTACCGTTCTGTGATTATTTGGTTCACTTTACTGTATGTATGGAGTACAACACTTCAACAATTTATTCTTGTAATAAGAAATTTGTCCGAAAGCTACTCGATAATATATGTACATATAATAGACTTTTAATCACTCGGGTAGATTAACAAGTTACACACGTCACATTATATTAAACAAAGAAACTAGTTTTTCTTGACTGTTGATAAAAATGAATGAATTAAGCGTAACGTTTTAAATATCATTCAAATGTACTAAGAATTTATTTTCAAACTGTTTTGTCTCCTTTTCAAAGGTGACAAAATCAAAATATTCGTAAATCAGACCTGAAGATTTATACAAATGAAAACCTTCCTCACTTACTTTAGGATAGCGAAAGCTATAAATAAAGCTAGTCCAGCTAAAGAGAATTGAGCTAAAAAAGTTTTTGTGATGGCACAAAGAAGGCTTGGCTTCGAATTTTTTGTTTTCGCTTTCCACAGTTCATCTTCCCAATGTTTTTCTAATGTATCAGTTAATTTACAAGAACCATCAGAGTCCATACTTTGATACAAATCGTCCACTGAAAGGGGCTGTTTTGTAGCCTTGTATATTATTTTTACTAGCCACCTTAAAATGGAAATAGGATCATTTTAAAATTTATACCCACATCAATTTCTTGTTGTAAATAAATTACATGGTAACATCCATAAAAGAAATACAAAAATATTAACTTACACAAAAAATAGTTTTGAAATACAATTGGCTTCCTTTTTTGGGTTTTGCTTGTTAAGTTTAATACAGTTGTCCATCTTTTCTTAATAATATTTCCTAAAGCATCTGAAAGAAACGGGAAAATCCGCTGTATTATGAAACATTAACTTAATAAGAGAATAACAATGAACCTTTTTTTGTGTATGGATATTAGTATTGGATTAGCGAATTATTACAAGTGTAAAAAACGTTATTCTTTTTGAAAATTTATCAACTCAAAGGTGTTCCTTTTCTGCGTCAAATGAATTTTTTTTATTCAAAAATTTTTTTCGCTATAAGGGTCTCTCTGTAAGGAAATTTTGGTAAAAAACTTAGGGAATAAAAAGAAACTTCGTTCCAGCGAACTGGGCACTGCCCGTCATAATGAGAACGAGGTGTTAATTAGATAAAACCGTCGTATATAGTGAACAAACTAAACCTTCGCTCATAGAAGCAGATATCCATTAACTGAACAAAAATTTTTATTTTCGTTTCTTCTGAAAACGTAAATGAAGTTATTTCCTAGTGGAATGATCAATTCTTCAAGGCAGTTGCTATCTGAAGCATTTATTCAATTATACGCTGCAGGGCTTTCGTTGTTTAGATAACAAATAGGATATCGAGCGAATATCTTGGGCATAATGTAGACAATTATTCGAGGAGACAAAAGAATGTTCCATTTACCCGTTTGAACCAGCATCCTTGAAATACATAGTTAGATAAGTCAGTCATGATCAAGTTCCTTAGTGGGTGTTTGTTGCATGTATAAATGTTCGCGTGTTTACGATAACTTGTATAGGGAAAAACAGAATTAAAATGAATATTTATGTAAAAATAAATAATTAGTGCGTTAATACAATAACTAATTCACATTAAACGCTTAATTGCTTCACGTTTGAAGAAGCAATATGTCCTTTTTTGTTATAGGTTCATTGATTTGATGCATTTAATCATAAATCAATGCGCATTGATGTTTACTAATGTTCAATTAATCGACCACATCTGATATAATGATTTTTGAGGTAAATCGATTAAGAAAATTGCGTGGAAATCCAATTTAACGAATAAACGAGATTTTCAATTTTAATTTATACTTTTGCTTTATTATAGTATAATATAAACAATATTGAATTAGCAAAAGAATCAAATAGGAATTTGGTAGAATTGAATGGTTGAAAACAATATTACACATTATATTCAAAATATTATAAAATAAAGTTACAATTATTATCCTCGTTTTAATATTTATTCTACGAATATATTTTAGATATTTGTAATATAATTTTAATAACGAAAATATAAGTCTTACCTAATTATTTAATTTAAGTAAGGCAACACCTATTTTATTGAACATTTCCATTCGACTAGCACGTAAATTCAAATTTATAGTACGTTCAAGTTGTAAAGGATTTTCCACAAAATTATTTTGCAATACAAATATTTAAAATATGAAAATGATAAGGTGAAATTTATGTTTGCGAATGCAAAAAATTAGTACAGCAGTTAATACTATGCCGTTATCTATTGGGCCAATAACGGTTACCTTTGAATTAGCTTTCTATGTGATTTTTAGGAAAATACACAAATGTATTTATTAAAACTGGGAATGATATACAATACAATATGATCCCCATAAAAATTTTAGGTAAAATAGTGTTTTTATAACAAGAATAATGATGAGCAAAATTGATCTTGGGCCTGCAGTCGTAGACTTGGTCTTGGTTTTGCGAAAATGCATATATATTAGCAAGACTAAGTTCGAACGAACAAGATCAAGACTAAATAAAGTCAAGACCGAATGTACAAGATTAAACGAAAAATTATTAAAAACCGTAAGGATCAGATTAAATGAGCATGACCAAGACTTAATACGCAAGACGAAGACCAAGACCGAAATTATATCAGCAATGTCAAGACCAATACTAAAACTGGGACAATTGTGGTCTTAGTTTTGCTTTGTTCGTCACTAAACAAGAATAAGTAGCTTTTATATAGTTTTAAGAATAATTTTAGACATATCTTTGAAGGTAGATAATGAAATCCGAAAAAGATTGTTAAAGTTCTATGTTTGGAGCGCGACGCTGTACGGGTGTGAAATATGGATGTTGGACGCGACGGAAAAGAAAAGGTTAGAAGCATTCGAAATGTACTGTTACCGACAAATAATGAGGATACCGTGGATAGAGAAGGTTAGAAATGAAGAGGTATTAAAAAGAGTAGGAGAACAGAGGACTATATGGAAGTAAAAAAAAAAATAGGCGAGATAGGTTGGTGGGACACCTTCTCAGGCATGAAGGTCGTAAGAGATATATTAGAGGCAGAAACAGGAGTTAAGAGAAGTAGAGGTAGACCTAGATTAGATTACTGTTCGCAAATAGGGAAATGCGAAGATTAGCTCAGGATAGGAATCAGTGGAAATGCGTGTCCAACCATCAGTCTTAGGACTGACGACCTTACGATGATATATGTATCTATACATAAATATCCTTCTGAATTCCTCATAACGAATCGTAGCTAATACCCACATTGTCTATTGTGTTATTTGGACTCCCAATCCGAACTTGTTAACAGATGGTTTCTGTAAAATGTATAGACTAACAATCGACTAAATTTCGGGTTTTTAAATCAAATTGTTTTAGAATAATCGAAAGTGGCATACAGGCGAACGTATGTATAAGGGTACCATTAATTTTTCCCTACATGAACATAATTAATTGATTTATGTTTTACCAGTATTATTATACACACTTATCTGTTGTTATTAAAAATAAATAAAAAGACATGAAACAAGCAGGATATTATGGATGTTATTTTTTTTTAATAGTAATAAATGGAATTGTCGTCAGTAGATATGTGTGTGTGCAAAAACTGTGAATAATCCGGGATTTTGAATTGCTAATTTGGCATTACGAGCAAATTCATAATATGAATATCAAATTGTTGTAATTACCATTTGAAAATAATCGCATTTGAATCTGATAAAGTTATTCTATCCAGCGACCCTAACCTTACATAGATGTACATAATGATGTATATTTTACAATTACACACAAAAAACTGTTACATAATAAGGTGAGGCTGACTCACGGTTTCAACAAATTTAAATTTAAACTATTTTACAACCGACGTGTACATGGACAGCAAGTAATTTTTACTCCTAGAAAAAAAGTAGCCATGTCCCCATGATCTATCGTCATTTATAAAAAAAATACTGTATTATAGATAAACGGGCTCTTGAATAGTCAAGACGCAAAGGCAATTTTGGCATTAAATAATACAGTAATGGCTCAAGTAAGAAATATTAAAGGAAATTATTGAATCCCAATGCCGATTTTTATAATATTAAACATTCAGTATTCACGTGTCAGCCTTCTTAATTGTTTAATTTCTATTCTTTTCTGCTAAAAGATTACCTCACTAGTTGTTAAAAAAATCGACCATGTTCGTTGATTAAAATGATAAACAGAATTGAATCGAAGCACCTCTCAAATTTCGCAACTTCGCAATCATAACGACGAAAACAATTAAAAAAATTTTTATGACAATAATTACCTACTGAAGCACACAGTGACTTAATTAATAATAGAGTTTTCGTCCTTAATACAAATTATTGTGTTTATCAGGATTTTAACATTATATCACTATTTTTTTAAACCGACCAAAAAAAAAATCGTCTTCTTCTTGTCTAAAAGAAGACGCTTATTTGTATGACCTTATGTATCAACCGCCATCGATAAAATACAACAATTTGAGTTAGTTTAAGCATTTAGTTATTAATTATATTTTAATTTAAATTATAATGGATTTCTAGATACTGATTATTTTTTTATGACTCTTAATTACAATGACATGATAAAGGCTAAATCTGTCACATTTTATTTGAATTAATAAAAACAAAATCCACAAAATGTCAGATCTCCTCTGCATATGCTGATAGTAAATCAATATCTCATGCCTTTAAAAAAAATATTTCTAAGATTCACGTTTTCAATTGTTAGTCTTTATTTGATTTTAATTACATGTGTCTGAATTAATTAGTACCAGACATTTTATTATTTTACATTTATGTACTAAAATGGTAAGTAATAGGAGTAAATGTTTTAAATTAAGTTACAATTCTAAACAAAATGACAATTATTTTTTAATTTATAATTGAAAATATATAATTAATGTGATTGGGTAAAAAGATCAAATTTATGTAAAATTGTTTAAAACGAATTGTGAAAAACGTATTTCTGATGTCTCTAAATCACAAATCAAAAATTGTTCTAAAACTTTCAATCAATTCAAAGCAGAGTAGTTTTATACTATTTCAACATTCTTCGAAAAAAAATAATAATAAACATCCATATTGCGAAATATGACAACACGCTGATTAGTTTTTAATAGACACTCATGTTTAATAGATTTATCTGGTTTATTAGCATAAAATTGACTTGTTTTTTTCATAATTTAAATTAATTTGAGATGCATTGATAATTGAGATTAATTTGAATTGCACAGCATGTCTCTTAACATAAGCCATTTCCTGTATCTATCGTTCATGATTTATTCTTCATATTTTTTTAAACAAATTTAATAAAATAATTAAATTAAACTACAAGACACATTATCTCTTTTATTTATCAATAACATTAATTGTATACTCGACTTAATCAATACAATCACATATTCTATTGACGAAATAAGTAATTTAGATTTATATTTAGTGATAAATCAATTTGAGATTAATGATAATACTAAATATTCAAAGTATAGCAAAAAATGAAACAACTACGAAGTATTTCGTCAGAAAATACGACAAGCGTTTTACTTTACTTTTGACGAATTTTTCAATAAATTAATGAAGGCACCCCGGCGTCCAGTATGCTGAAGAGTATTTTAAGGTTAATTTTTTGGTCAATTACACTAAAAGTACCTTTACAGTCTATTGCTGTTTCTGGTACCATTTAATATTACATCTCAAGAAAATTCGCGAACTAGATCCTGTTTTTTGAAAATTCGTAAAACTCGCTAAAAACACAGTAGTAGAAATATAAGTCGAAGCTAAACTTACATAAACGATTAGTGTAGTTGTTCGAAAGTCACTAAATCACTAGAAAACCACTGCTAATAGACAAACAAAATTTCATTTTTCTCGAAAAAGCGGTAACAAAAACCACGATGCGCACTTTTCGAATATTATAATAAAAATAATACGTAAAAAAAATGTTTATTCCGGGGCAGCTTCAAGACAGAGAACTATTGAGTTGGTCCCAACAGTCCCCACTAAATTGCTGACCCGACATTGTCTCTTGAAACTCAAGATTATCCATCGAAGGAGGAAAGTGAAACAATTTCTTTATCTTTTCCAAGGTAATCGGGTGCATAAAAAAAGCGCACAGAACAAAAACTTTAAATAAATATAGCATATATCCAAGGGATAAGTATGTATGTACGTATATAATGGTTAACCATTCACAATTATACAATCGAGAATAATGAAAAACTTCACCGACTACCAGCAAAAATTGAAAAATTAACCCCTGCGTTATTATTTTGTGTTTCCGATTTTCTTCGTCTACTTCTTCGTTAACCACATAAAATAATTGAATGAATGTCGCTAATATGACAGGATGTAGAGGTCTAGAATTAACAACATATGTAAAAATAGGTACATTTATTATACTATTTATTATTAGCATTTAATTATGTGCACATTCAATCTCCTTCTGTTTTCAGTTTGTTTTTTAAACATCCTGGGGAAACAGTTCATGAAAAATATGTTAAATATTCATCACAATCACAGCATGTATAATAAAGTAATTTATCTGAATTGTATAAGAATTGCATCTAAAGTGTGACGCAATAGCAATTAGAGTTCGCATTTCAAAGAAAAAACAAATGAAAACATTAATATGGTAAATAAATAAAAATGTGTAATTTATCTTTCGTAAAAAGTTCATTTACTATCGGAATGTATAGATTGGTAACCACATATAGATACTAATATCCTACAAGTATTTTCCGACTGCTTGACTACGCTCTAATAACAGTAATAAATAATTCTATTGTTCCACTAAACCAATTAAAAAGGCAATCTGTATAACGAAAGAGCATAATTCAATTTTTTTGTCATAGGCAGGTACTTTTTGAAATTCTTAAAAGTAATGAGAGTTACAATAGAAAAACCCACTGTTTGAATTAATGAATTATCAATAGGCAGACAACTGCAAGAATGACATTTATGTTTTCATTCTAATAATTGACCTTTTATAATAATTATTATTTCTCCTTTAATAAGTATTCTTAAGAGAGCCGCTATAGATTTATAAAAAAGGTTTCTCATTTACATTTGGTGACAACAAAGTATTTATTTTAATAATTGTACCAATAAAAACTGGTACCTAGTAATAAATACAGAAATGTCTGGAATTGCGGCATTTTTCAGTGTATCTACTAAGAATAAAATGCGGTGGCATTACATCTGAAATCTAATTGTTCATTAATTATTACAAGTGACAAATTAATTGATCTACAGTCGTTGTTTTTGTTAGCAGCAAGCTAATTATTATTTTTGTATCACTACACCTTTGTGGGAAAAATCTATTTTTAGATAATAATTGTAGTAAATTTATTATAGTTGTAGTTACTTTTGTGTCAAGTGATGCGGTCACAAAACAAGCTTCCTGATCTTCCCTTATTCTTGCTGTATAAGCACAAGTTTGTGAGCAAGATGTTAAGAAATGAATCAACCCAGCAAAAAATTGTCAAGACAAGAAGTAAAACAACAAGCAGTTACTAAACAAGATAAGAAATCTCTTTTATACACCACTACTTATACATAATGTGTCCTGTGTCCAGTGTGTTAAAATGCATATAGGCACATTGTGATTGACTCTTTTGTCTTTTATTTTATAATATTATTTCAAGAGCAGCCAGGGTTAAAACAATCAAATAATGGTGGAATCGCCGGAAACAATATATTATACTATTCTACTATGTAGTTTTACCGTTCTGTGATTATTTGGTTCACTTTACTGTATGTATGGAGTACAACACTTCAACAATTTATTCTTGTAATAAGAAATTTGTCCGAAAGCTACTCGATAATATATGTACATATAATAGACTTTTAATCACTCGGGTAGATTAACAAGTTACACACGTCACATTATATTAAACAAAGAAACTAGTTTTTCTTGACTGTTGATAAAAATGAATGAATTAAGCGTAACGTTTTAAATATCATTCAAATGTACTAAGAATTTATTTTCAAACTGTTTTGTCTCCTTTTCAAAGGTGACAAAATCAAAATATTCGTAAATCAGACCTGAAGATTTATACAAATGAAAACCTTCCTCACTTAC